GCAAAGCTCCGGTGAACTGGGTGAGCAACCAAAAAAGAAAACAATTTTTAATGGGAACATTTTTTTTCACTTTTTTTTTGTTTTATCCAGCAGGTGTGGCAAAGTCAGTTAAGCCCAAAATCAAATTTGCAAAACCATTGCACTCAAATGAACCAACCTACAGTTAAGAGAGATCCTGGGAAGTGAGAAATTGGGATCCAAATCCCTCTGATCAGGTGATGTTTTTTGGGCTTAGCCCGTCAATACTACCAAAAGCCAAGCCACCCCATGGCCCATGAGAACACGTAAAGATACCCGCGATTTGTTGGGCTTTCCAACATCGAATATGGATTACACTATCTGGCCATCTCTCCGGTCTCCACAACCGCATCAATTAAAATAATAATAAATAACCAACCCAAATTGACTCTAGTGAAAAGGATTAATTTCTCATAATATAACAAACTAAATTTGAATTCTTACTATAAAAAGTGCTCACATTTAGTATCATATAGTGTCTCAAATAAAATTATCTCCAATAGGTGAATATCTATGCATGGCAAAAAAAAAAAAATAAATCTTTTTTTGCCTCCAAAATAAGTAATTAAATCAATACATGTATGTGTGTATATACCCTATATATTAAAAACCGGCCATTTAGGGCCTGTTCGGTTTGAGATGAGGGGAGGGTAGGAGAGGGGATAGAAAATTATCCCCTTCTCTCATTTAGTTACAACTTTTAGAGTGGAGCCCTTGCCCCTGTTTTAGCTCTCTTTTAAATTGAGTTTTTATGGAAGAAAGCTAACATATTAGACCATTTTATCCTCATTTTCTTGTATTTCATTAACGCCTATAAAAATAAAATATATATTATTGTGAGTAACATATATATATTGTTATAATTAAAATATATATTATAATAAAAATAATTTAAAATTATATTACTGTAAAATTAACCAATTTTTAAGAAACATATTATTTTATTAATTAAATTATATCTTAAAGGTGAAAGAGAACAAAAATTTTGTTTTTATAAGGCAAACAAAATTTGCTAATTTGATTATTTAAAATATATTATTATATCAGTTAGAATAAGAAATCAGTGGACATTAACATGACAAGACTGAATTTTGATTAAATTATGTAATTAGAATTAAGATGTGAATTAAGTTATATAATGTATAAATAAAAATATAAACTAATATGTAAAAATAAAATGGTAAATTAGACTATATTTTAAAAGCACTTCTTTGATCAGTTAGCAGACACAAGCCACAATGTAACACTTCAATAACAAATTGTTGATCACAAAAAGAATCATCAATAGTGCTAGAGAATAAGGGGACAGGGATTTGCTACAATCTCGTTTACGAAACCTCACATCCTTCCTCTGCCCTTTGATTTTTAGTCAAAATGGTGAGACTTCAGTTCTCTTGCAGTTTATTAATGGCAGCCTGAGGTAATTGTTGAAGACTCTTCCCTGCCATTAAAGCGTGGATTCGCTTTTATGGCATCCCTTTGGATTATTACACTGAGGAAGTAGCGAGGAAGGTGGGAGATCTCTCAGGTGTTTTTCCAGAGTTTGATGAATCTTGCTTACATGCAAATGGGGTTCGTGTGAAAGTGACTTAGGCCTCAATTATTCCATTAACTGCTTTCAATGATTTTTATCTGCAGACTGCAGTTCGGCAAAAAAGTCTCGTCATTATTCCTACCTGAGCATATCTAATATAAATTATATTATAAAATAAGTCTCATATTTAAAAAAAGTATTTTTTTTTGGGGCATTTTTCTCATTTTCTGCAGTGTTGACTTCAACCTCTGTCCTTTGGCAAGGACTTTCTTCGCCATTTGCGATTTTTTTTTTTTGATACATAAGAAAACAGAAATAGGAACTACGTGGGATTAAAACCCAAGCAGTCCTTTTCCACCAGATGCCTCATAGAACTCGGACAGATACCATAATAAGAAGAGGACGAGATTCCTTGTTTGGCTAGCACATCGGCAACCGTGTTTGCTCGTCTTGCAGTAAAGCATAACCTGATCTCCCAGTCATACTTTAATAGATCACGAATCTGTAGTAACAGCAGGCTACAAGAAAGGGGAGGGTGATCTGCAGTTAAGTATTTAATCAGATTCTTTGCATCAGATTCAAGTATAACTTTCTTGAATCCAAAATCCCAGGCCAGCTTCAGACCCTTGTAGATACCCCAAGCTTCCGCCTCTAGGACACTGCATAAGCCAATCTGGAAGGAGAAACCCACAATCCAATTACCATTCTGATCTCTAAGCACACCTTCGCAACCAGCTCTATTGGATGAATTTGCAACAGCACCATCCACATTCAATTTGACCCATCCTTGAGGTAGGGCCACCCATGCATTAGATTTAATTGTAGGTTGACATTTTACATCGAAATTCATAGGTCTTGATCCCACAGAGTAGTTTCTCCAGCTAAATTTAATTACAGCAACAGGATCCCTAGGCTTTCCAAAGTTGTCATCAAAAACTCATTCGTTTCTCCATAGCCATAACTTCCAAACTAAGAAACCCCAGAGCAAATCCCAGTTGGCATTCCCGTCTAAGCTCATGTTTTCCTGCAGATTGAGAGCAATCCACTCCTGCAAGGAGGCTGAGAAGAACCTATTCGCAACCTTCTGATCTATGAGGGAGTTCCATACACTTTTAGCATATTCACAGTCTCTAAGCACATGTAGAATACTCTCCACTTCACTAGCACAGTAGGAGCATAATGGAGAACACTGAGACCAACTGTTCCTCCAGAGATTAGTGGGCAATTTACCATGGTATAGTCTCCAAAGAAACACCCGAATCCTTTCAGCCCCCTTCCATCTCCAGATTAGTCTGTAAATCGGACTATACAAAAAGGAAGGACTTTCCTCGATGAGATAATAAGCACTCTTAAGACTAAATAATCCTGTTTTCGAACCTTTCCATATTTGCGAATTGTTACTCTCATGGAAGCCCTTTCAGAGAAGTTGTTTCGTTTTGTTTTTCAGGAGCCAGGATTAAATCAAGTTCGCAATTCAAGATCCACTTGGTTTCACCACGCTTAACATTGTGCTTGTCTCTGTTTTTTTCTATTTTAACTAAAGTATAGGTATCTTTCTATCAGAGACAATCTTATAACTAAAAAAAGCATGGGTTTACCACGTTATGAGGGATTAGCTCATTCTGCTAAACTTAATCCCTGTTTATTGCCTATCCTTGTTTCGTGTCTGTTGTGTTCATGGTTGTTGAAGATAGGCTTCTTCTCGTTTTTTTTTTTTTTTTTTTGCGCCATAGATGTGCTATGTCGTTTCGGTTTTGTTTTTCAGTTGCTGTTTTTGTTTTCCTGTGAGGTCGCCTTTTTTACTTGACCTACTTGCGTTTTGCTCGAATGGGTTCTTTGTAATGGGCCGGCCTTTCTAATGCATCAAATTACTTTGTAATGAAATTATCCGAGTTGGATGAGACATTAGTTTATGAATTATTTAGCGAGTCAATGTTGTAATCGTGATTAAACTAGCAGTAATTAAATTACTATATTTTTAGTTACACATCAATTATCCTAGGTAGAAGAAACAAGAACCAGAATATAACTTGAAAAAAAATTAAACATGGCGGATAATAGCCTGCCCACTCTGACTGAGCATTCTCTTAATAACTAAGAGTACTTCTGATAAACCTGGAATGAGGCTTAGGAGTATCTTTGGCACCTTTATTTAATTAAGTCATCAAGTGCTCCTTTCTAGTTTGGCGCTATTTTTCAGCCCACGTTTACTACTTATAGCGATCAGCACCATGTGGTCAAACTTGAATTTGTAGAATTAAAATGAGCAGTTCATGCTCATATTTTTAGCGAGCATAGAATGTGCTCTTTTTTCTCCTATTTTTAAAAATCACAATCAAAATTCAGATAATATCTTCTTGGAAAAGAAAATACAAAAGCACCAAAATTTAAAAAATAACTCGGGGGTTATAGTTCAAGTAACACAAGACATATTTTTGGTACAAGGGTGTGAGTTTTAAGTGTACATAAAGGGCATGATTGTGGGCTATAACCAAAAAATAAATGAAAAATATGCAACTCCGTCTCACTATTTAAAAGAAAATGAAATTCTTCTAATTCTAATTACTCACGGGCATCATTAAGTCGAGTTGCATTAAGAAAAAAAAAAGAAGCCAAATATGACAATAAAGATAAAACTGAACCAAATTAAGGAGTCAACATTATCACATTAATCATTAGTTACATAAAAATAAAGGGAAGGTTTTAATAAACCCTTCAGTACCCAATTAATATCATCAGCTCCTTAAAAATTTTAAAATTTCAGTGCACTTCTTGACCAAAATTTTTGTGTGAGAAGACAATAATATCTTTACTTTATTTGAGTTGAAATCATTAAATTTGTGTTGCAAATCGTCAAATTCTGATCGTAAATAGCCAAATTTAAGTTGTAAGTCTTTATAAATTTTATGAATAAATAAATAATTCAAATTTAGTAATTTGCAATAAGAATTCCTTAGTTTGCAACTCAAATAAAGTGAGGGCATTTTAGTATTCTCACATATAAAATTTTGATTAAGGGAGTATAGTGAAATTTTAGAATTTTTTGGGAATTAACCCATATTAATACCATCTACTTACTAATTTTTCCAAAATAAGCCCCAAGATTTACATGCCCAACTCATTCTGCACCACCAAAATGGTTTTTGCAGAGTCCCTTAGCCTCTGAGCTTCCTCTCCTGTGAGGTGCACATCAGTGACACCCAAGACGCCTCCTCTTCCGAAATGAGCCGGCAAGCTCAAAAACACCTGTCCTCCGTCGTCGATGCCATGAAATCCGTTTGCGAGCACAGAGACTGGGTGGATCTTCCTCTGGTCTCTCAGACTGGCTCGAGCCAAGCTCCCCACCGAATACCCTATGGCCCAATAGTTATAGTCTTTCAGACGAATCACTTCATAAGTACTCTCCACAACTTGGTGGGAGAGGGAGGAGGAGTGTGAAGAATGGACGTGAAGAAGGCTTGGGATAGGTCTAAGCCTCCTGGACCCAAGTGGGAACCTGAAGCACTTTTGTGCATGTTTGTGTTACTTTGAGAAAACTGTATCGCTGTGAAGGATTAATGCATGGAAATAGCTTAGTATAAAGCATATTTATAGACATATATGTCTCCGCGACAGAGGACAAAAATATAATATAATAGTACAGAGAGGAAGCTTCCATAGAAAAGGTTTGAGACTTTGTGTGGGGGCTAACCGGCTAAGGCAAAATATTTTTCAACGGTAAAACTTTCTGGCGACGGAAACGGACTTAAGAAGGCAACATACGTTTCAGTATAAGTATAACACGAAGCTTTGTTATATTCTTAATGAGATTATTAGTGTTGGTAGCTGTTAGTACTACCACCAGTCCTAATTATAAGAGCTAGTTGACTAATTTGAGAAGATTAAAAAAATAGATTAAGTTAGTTATTTGTAATAAATAAGTATTTTATTTTCTAAAATATCATCGCTAATCAAGTTTATTGGCTAGAACTACCATTATTAGAGGGATTACCTTAAAAAAAATGCATAAATATGAAAGACAAAATGAATTGGGGTCTTACAATTAGGACCAAAATAAAAGTCAAACGAAGTCTTATATTAAAGAGTGGAGGTAGTATTATTTTATTCATTATAGGCAAGTTTTTTTCTGGAAAAGAAAAGAAAAAGAATTACTGGGAGGACCAAAGAGTGGAAATTTCCTCGATTTTGGTTTAAGAAGAGCGAAACCAGAGAAGAATGTTGGTGGATTCTTCTTATTTTGATAAATAAGTCATATTTTCCATCTTTTTGGTGTATTGACCAATATTGCAAATTGTTACTTTGGAACAAAGGGAACCTAGAAACTGTGGTGGTCTAATAAGTTGGTGTTTGTTTGTTTAATTGAAGATTTCAAAGGTCAAATGTTCATTTTTGTCTCATGTGTTTGCTTTTCAGCAATGGCCGGTAGGTGTTATTCATTGGGCTCCAAAATTTTCCCCTTTTTTTTCCTTTCAAAAAGAAGAATTACGTATCTTTCTCCAAGTTTGGTTCAGAACGATACGCGCAACTGCTCTTCAGTTCACTTTTCACATACGCACGAGATACAAGTACATTTATTGTCTTCTAAGTGCATTTTCCTCTTCTCTTCCTACTTATAAAATTACTTCTAATAACATGTCTGGCCAACCAAAAAAAAAAGTCGAAAAATCTTAAATTTTTTAACTTTGCCTTAACATTTAAGAAATTTTTTTAAATATTTAAAATCCGTTTATTTCTATGTTCGTACATGAGTAATTTACTTGAACTTTGAGGAGAGCATAAAATAATGCTGCCTTCGAAAATCTGGAAGTTGGTTTGTGCAATAAAGATTTTCTTTTTGAAAAGATTCGCATCCCATTATTTATAAATATACTTTTATTTTATTTTCTATTGCCTATTAAATTAAGTACTACATATTATAGAATGTAGATAATATTTTTAAATTATAATAGATGAAATTGCATAAATGTTATATATTTAATACTTTCATACCATAAAAGTAAACCATCATCAGTCTATGTTTTGAGTTTATATAAATTCGTGTGTCTAACAACCTTTCTTCTCGCTATTAATTAAAGGAAATAGGTGGCTTTTAAATATATCAAAAAGGTGTTAAACTGAAAACACTTGAATTAATGAAATTTCATTTGAAAATTTTTTTTCTTGTTTTATTTATTATAGATTTAGTCTCTATTATAATTTTCAAAAATTGACATTTTTGTCTTCATTATTTTTAAATTTGTTATGCCTTCTTATTATTTTTAAATTACACTATATTTGATTTAAGTGTATATTTACGGCATTAAATGAATAATCGACATCTACATAATCAACTCCTAGTTTTTGGCAAAAACAAAAAATCTTAGTGTAAAAGTAATAGATTGATATATATATTTGTAAATAGGAGATACTCCCTCTGATTCATAATATAAGAAGTTAGTTAAAAAAAAATTTTGATCCAAAATATAAGAGGTTAATATATATGTGATTATATATAATCCATTTTGTGATTATATTGGTTTTCCATGTTATAATCAGATGTGTTAAAATGCAACTTCAAAGGAATGAAAATATATATGTATCTTTCCTAAATCCATGTGTACTCGCTGGGGACAGGTTTGAAAATTTGTATTACTTTAATTTGCCGGACTAAAAATTGGCATTACGTAACATATTTACGAGCAAAATATATTATATAAGCACATGTAACTTGAAATAATTACATCATAATTTTATATCATATTTTTAATAATAAGAAACTGACAAGTAGAAGTGTCTCTATTGACAAGTCATGATTTCAATATTAATGAGTGAGTCAGAAATAACTACTCACTTTATACTAATATGACAAAAGTTAACGGTAAAAAAATATAAAAAAAATATATCAAAAGTTCATCTAACATTATGAATTTTTTTTAGTTCAAAATTACTAATCAAAGTTTAAAAAGAAGTTAATAATGCTAGCGCCATTAACGTCCCTTTTTTAGTAGTGGGACCCACAATTTTTAATGAAAGTACCAAAACACCCCAATTAAAACAAAAAAAGTTAAGGTAAAAAATACCTATGAATTTATACCAAAAGTTTACCCAACACTATCTAATTTTTTAATGAAACTACCAAAAATACTCCAATCTTAAAGGGCTATTGCATTATAGTGTATTAGAGATTATTAATTATAATAAATTTGTATAACCCAATCTTTATAATTATAAAAGATTATTTATGTTTTTGATAATTTTTTTCTTCTTCAAAAAATTGTTTCTTTTTTTTCTTTTTTTATAAAAACCAACCAATTGTTATAGCGTATTAATTGTTATGATTAAAAATATTTTAGTAGCATAAATATTATACGTAATAATTAAATTTTTTTTGTAACTTATCATGTTTTATATTTTAACATCACTATTACTTATCTTGGAGTGTTTTAATTACGGAGAATTGTTAAATAAAGTTAATAAAATTAATGTTAATATTTTAATCTTTTGATTAGTATTCATTTGATACTCTCATATTTTTAATTCAATTTAAAAAAATTTAATTAATTCAAGATGAAAATTATACGACGATGCTCTAAAGTTTGAGTATGATAAAGAATATGAATCAATATTATAAGAAGGCCGGTTTTTTTCTTCAAAGAGAGATGAGTTAAGAAGACCATCAACAGGTTAGAGGGAGATGGTAGTTTCTTTTTTTTCTTTTTACTGGGTATTTTAATGCTTTCATTAAAAATAGTGGATCCCACTATCAAAAGTGACTTTAAATTTTCTCAAAAAAATTGAATATAAACATAAAAGAATTCATGTAAACTATTAAATTTCATAATATAGGCTGGAGGATAAGCACACAACTTAATACACTATTGGTACAAATAACTTATTTTTAAAAGATACTTATAACGTCTATTAAAAGAAAAGATTAGGGATATAAATAACTTATCTTTAAACAGAAATTTAATTCAAGCTTAACCTTTTTTACATAAGTTATTTTAATTATAACAATTTATTATAATTAATAATCTCTACCATACTCTAATGCAATAGCCCTTCAAGATTGAGGGTAATTTGTACTTTTATTAAAAATTATATAGTGTTTGGTACACTTTTGATATAACGTCATCGGTATTTTTGACCCTTAACTCTTTTTTTTAATTGAAGGTATTTTGATATTTTCATTAAAAAGAGTGGGTTCCAGGACTTAAAAAACAGACGTTGGCATTATTGCCATTTTTTTAAACTTTGATTGGTATATTTGACCTCAAAGAAAGTACAAGGTATTTTTTGAACTTTTGATATATTTTCATAGATATCTTTTTATCCTTAAATCAAATGACAATTCATATTGTTTTTAAATAATTAACTTATTCAAAATACAACCTTTTTTAAAGTATCATATATAACTTAAAGAATATACATTGCATTAAATTTTCAAATGAAACTCTACAAATCAAATTAATATAATGAAATTTCAAAAACCAACCCATGGTGTTTGTAATGACAAAGGAAAGTACCTACATTAACAGGACTTTTAGCATCATAAAAATGACAAGTCAAGGTGCAAGTATTAATCATGGCATATATTAATACCTAATATCAATGTGTATCACTACTTGCTATTAACAATTAAACTAGCTATATTAACAACTGTTGCGGCATGTATTAGCGAGTAAGGGTATTAGCAAGGGTAATGAGGTCTATTTACATTTTTATTAAATTACAATCTCTTACGTTTAGCACTCTTTGGGACTTACTAATTATGAGAGCTTTTTGCTGTCTTCTTTATTTCTTGGGACCTTAGTGAAATTTTCCCTAGGTTAATTGTAACCTTAATTGCTTTCGTACGCATGTAATCCTCAATAGGCCATAGGACTAAATACCTTTCGGATGCTTTTAATCATCTTTACGTACCTAATTTTTTTCCTCTAAGTTTGACCTTAGATTTCAAGTGAACGATGAAATGCTAATTTTGGAATAAAATTAAATAAATTATGTATTAAATCATTTTATAACCAAATAATTGATAACTGATTGATTCTCCCCTTGGATGACAATTGAAATTGTCATGACAAAGCTGGCACCGCAATATGTACTGAATGTATTTTTTTTCCACCTGACCTCTTATGTGTTATTTCATCTATCCTTAATTAAAACTAAGGGTTAATATAATTTTTTATTCCCCAAGCTTGCGCTCATTTTGATTTTGGTTCCTCAAATTCTAAACTATAGGTTTTGATCCCTCAAGAGACAAAATAGTCTAAGTTTTTATTGGATTATAGGAACTAATGTTTTAAATAAAAAGAAATTTGAGGGACCAAAACCCATGATTTGAAATTTGAAGGACCAAAACAAAATGAAGATAAATTTAAAGGACCAAAGTTTGTATTAACCCTAAAACTAATTAAAGAAAGTTGAAGATCATGAATTTCAATGCAAAGCATCTACCTTTTTTTGGCCAACGCAAAGTTTCTTTCCCTCTATACATTTATCTTGTACATGTAGAATACTTAAAATAAGCCAACCTGCTAGTATTGCCGTGAAGCCATGGGGTGTCAAATTAATGTTGAAACCAAATCTCCTATTTCTACAAATGTTGTATTGCATGGGAGACAAAGATCATGTGTTTTTTTTTTTTTTAACACACTATTACAGCAGACACTTCTTATTTTCATTCTGGAAGACTTTTTACCTTTATTTTGAGGGGACATAAAAAAAAAACAAAAAGAAACATAGAAAGTATCTCACATGAAAAGTGGATTTGTTGTTCTAGTTTATATTTGTTGGACAGCTTCTATATATGCAGTCCATTTGTTAATTCCAAAAGAGGCTGGTTAAAAATGGAGCTTAGTGCATAAACAATTCGATCAAAGAATGTTACATGTTGGCAGTGAATTGTGGCAACTCAAATTGCAAAGATTATAAAATTAATATTTTAAGGTTTTGTATCAAGATACAGCAAACTTCTATATAAGCATTGACTAGTAAAAATAATGCTTGCAATAACAAATGATAGTGCTTAGGATGACAAGTCATTTATATTAGAAACTAAAATTTATCCACCAGATTATGTATAAAAGAGATTATATGAATAGATATAACTGGACGTTGTTATATAAGAAAATATGACTTTATATCATACTTTTAGCAGCTCAAAGATGACAAGTTAAAATGCATAAATTCACAACTAAGAGTATCTGAAATGACAACTGATAATTCTAGAGAGGAGTACATCAATTTGTATGCAAAATGGATTATATGAACATATGCAACTCTATATCATAATTGTATAACTTGATATCATATTACATAGGAAAATATAGCTTTATATCATACTTTTAGCAATACAGAAATGACAATTTAAAGAGCAAGGATTGACATGTAAGAGTGTTTGGACCCACAAGTGATAATGTGTGTTATAACAAGTCAATAATATCATAATCCAAAATTTATCCATCAAATTACGAGTATATGTAACTTCATATCTATATCATAATATATTAAGGACCGGAGGCAGTACTACATTATGCACTGAGTTGAACTCAAAAAAACGTTGATGCACTCGCTGTTGTGGATGTGTGCCATTTGACGTTTTGAGAAGTGTTGCCGCATCAGTTATATATTTGAAGGATATATTTTGATTTATGAGCAAAAGTTTCTAAAATTTATAATTAGTTTGACACATTAATGAAGTACTCAAAAAATCGTAGATGAATATCAAATGAAATATATCACCAGAATAATGATTTATGAGTGTGTATGGGCATATATTATTTTGGAGTGAATTAAGCATCGCGTAATATTATTGTGGGTCAAATTATTTGAGATATTATGGAGTTATTGATACCTCATACGCATCCTTTTAATTCTTATACATAAACTACTATGTCATTTAAACATCTAATCCCTTTTATTCCCTTGAGCAACTTTAACCTCAAATCTGAAAAATGTTTCTATTCAACTCCTCGTTTAACATTCTAAAACAATTTCTTGACATCAAGAAACATAAAATAGCAGCATCAAATTAGTTCTCAGGCCAAGCACATTTAAGCCACCATCTTTGAATCCTTGGACCCACTTTTGCTCATCTAGGAGAAGACCCACTCTATATAGCAACAGCTAACGTATACACTTATATTTATCTATCTTATGTTATTTGAGCATCTCATTATTCTCCTTAATTTCCTTACAATTGAAACAGTACCTATCCCTTTTTCTTAATTCCATAAAATTTCCAGATCAAGAACAATGTGTAAATTATCATTCTAAAATGTCTACACTTAGTTGTACTATCAAAAATAATTTTTAACACTTAAAAACATCCAACAGTATGCTTCACATTGGTACTTAGCTTCAAATTTCAGCCCATCAAATCATAATATCACGCACACATACATATATATTCTAACACAGCCCCAAAATCCTATACAAGCTTAATCCAGGGCCCATACCAACCTCCTCTATTCTCCATTAATGTTTCGGGCAGCTAGGAAAAATTTTCTGGATTTAGTACAATGCAACCGAAGCGTACGTATATATGTACACACATGTTACCTCTTGTTAACTCCAAGAATTAATTCAAATCAGCCGTGGCGACAGTGTGTGTGTGTGTGTGAGCTTCAATTCTCCCTTTTCATGTAAACCCCAGAATCACCATCTCGCGTTTAACACATCTAGGCGACAATATGTACATAGATATACTGCTCCTCTTCCTGCTCAGAAATTTGTCAGCACTGAGAAGCAAATTAAATAAGAAATCTGATTTCCAAAACAAGCGAACCAGATTCAAACAACTAGAAAACAAAGAAGTAACTCAACATGCATCTCCGCATTCATGTATTGCATGTTTCCTCTCACCTAACACCGCATATTCGACGCCTTGCAACCAGAAACATCGTACTCTGTTCGCATAATCATAAAATAGAGACAACAGCAACATGGAAGCACAATACTACTTCGACATACTTCAATCTTGCCACAGAACATGAATTCACCGATCCGTCTCTCCTTTTCTTCACTTTATCTCACTACTCCATCACTGTCTCTCTACAATCATAGCCAACAACAGCACTAAACCAGAAAAATGAAGACGAAATGAGACTCAAAAGGCTCACCTGAGTCTGAAACTCTGTTTGCGTGCAAGAATCAGGCCACCGATCACCCACCTCCGTCTCCTTGTTGCTCTCGGTCTCCCCCTCTCTTTTCTCTGATAAGATGAGAAAGGAGTGAGTCATTGATGATTAAATGGAGAGGGTAACACGTGAGATGTGGGCGTGCGTCATTATCTTGACCATTTTGCCGCTCACAATAAACCTTGTCTTCACTTTGATCCTTTCTTTATTTTTCTAAAATTAGAGAATGAACCCAGAAATTATTCCACCATGTTTTATATGGGTTTTTCTTTTGACACATAAAATAATGTCCATAAAAATTTCAGGTTAAAAATAGTCTCCTAGCTATTTTTCTTGAATCTCCTAGAAAAATAATCATTAATTTCAGAAATTAATCCTTAATTTTATGTCTTAAATAACTTCTTTATCTCATAAAATTTTTATCCTAAAATTTTCACCACAACTATAAACCTCTAACTATTTTTCCTTGAATTTCTAGAAAAATAGGTCCTTATCTATAGAAATTAGCTTTAAAATCATTTAAGCCATATTTGGGGAATTGAGCTTCTTCATAAACTTTATAAATCCTCAAAAAAATATGCTGCAATGTTGGGCAAATTTTCTTAGGCATTAAATAATTTTAATAAATATTTTCCTCCTTAATCTCTTTAAAATTTTTCCCGAAATAAACTTTTTTAAATGATAAAATAATTCTGAGATTTTATTCATTAAAATAATTCCTTTGAACCTCATGATTCTCAATAGCCTATTTTTCATAGCTTTAAAATTTTGGGATGTTACAATTACTTATCCTCGAGTGTTTTAATTCTAAAGAATTCTTAAATAAATTTAACAAAATAAATATTTTTACTTCAATCTATTGATTAGTATTCATTTGATACTTTCATATTGTAATTCAATTTAAACAATTTAATTAATTCTAGAAGAAAATTATACGAGAATGCTTTAAAGTTTGATTGAAATAAAGAATATGAATCCATATTGTAAGAGGGCGGCTTTTTTCTTGGAAGAGAGATGAGTTAAGAAGACCATTGACAAGTTAGAGGGAGAAAGTGATTTTTTTTCTTCTTTTTATTGGGAGTATTTTGATACTTTCATTAAAAATAGTGGATCCCACTGTTAAAAGTGACTGTGAATTTTCCTA